CCGGACGCAGGGCCAGATGGAGGAAAACCCCCTGGTGCCCCGTAGCCGGGGTCCACGCGTCTACCCCACCTCCAGCCCCCCTTCCTGGGGTCACCCCGAGTCACAGGCTCACTCTCCGTGGAAACGTCCTGCAGCGTCTTTAATGCTCTCGAGGGAAGATGAGGCCAATTACAGCCTCGCAGCGTGAGTGACACCCTATTTATAGCGTCTGGGGGGCTCCTTCCCGAATCGTCCCCACAGGCCCCCCAGGCCCACACATCCTGACACGTGCAATTTGCTCGACAGATCTGTACGCCGCCCCCGCGTCCCTCCTACCAGCGGGGGACAATGATGTGGAGGCGAGGCGGGCAGGGGGCGAGGCGGGCACGGGGCGGCTGCTGTGTGTGCCCGGCTCCTGGAGTCTGGCTTGCCTGGTAGGATCCCTGAGGTGGACCATGGGTGGGGAGGGGGCATGACCCCACCCCCTTCAGGCGGTCAGAACCCCCGCTGGCCGCAGCCGTGACCGCGGCTCTCGGACCAACAGATGCCCAGCCCCAGGCCCCGCACACCACAGGCAGGGCCGCCCGAAGCGCCCAGAGAAGAGATGGGAGCCGCTGACCCTCGCCCTGTCCCCCCCTTCCTTCAGCCCTGAGCGTGGAGGGCAGAGGTGGCGTGCCCTGCGCTCCCCACACCCTGGGGGCTGGGCAGCCTGAGGGTGGAGCCAAACAGCGTGTCTGCCTCCGGCCCCTGGAGGGAGGAGCACATTCCTGCACCTGCACGAGGCCTTCCAGCAGGTCTGGGCCCCGCCTATGCCCCCACTTGCACACCCGCCCCCACCTCCCCTCCCCCTCAGCTTCGTCCCGTTTGTCCGGCTCTAGGGAGGGGTGGCGGGGAGACTCCTGGATGCTCTGCGACAGGGACCTGCTGTGGGCGGGAGCGGCCCTCCTGGCTCCCTCGCCCGCGGGGCAGTGTCAGCTCCGTCCCTGGGTGCCACCACACTGTCCCCACACCGGGGCGGTCACCTCTCCCCTCCCTTCTCCCCTCCTCTCCCCGTCTCCCCACTTCCTCCACGGAGAGCAGCAGACCAGGTGCGAGGGGTCTGGGCAAAACACAGGAGCCGGCAGTGGCTCTCGGCCTTCCCGACAGAGGGCGCTGGGCCTCACATCAGGGGACAGCGGAGGCCAGGTGCCCAGCCTGGAGTCAGCAGGTGGGAACTGGGC